TCTTTCCTTGCACACACTTTGTTCCTGCTAGTTCCCCCAACTGGCCATGTCTTTTCCAGGGAGGGAAGAGTCTTTTGCACATTTCATCCCTCTTACTGAAATGTACTTTATACTTCAGATCTCACCTGAGGTGGAGCTTCCTCCAGAAAGGTTACCTAAGTCTAAAAGGCTGGGCTTGGAGACCTTTAATATGCTTACTAGCCATCCAGTTATTGATTCCTTCAGTAAATATTTGTGTTAAGCACTGTGTCATAGGCTGAGGACACATGTGAACTAGACAGGGGTAGGCCTTCTTCTTATAGAGCTTATATTCTTGTCAGGGAAGCCATCCCATACTCACCCTGTTAAAAAAATTTTTTGGAAATAATTACAAACTTATAGAAAGTTGCAAAAATATAAGCAGCATGAAGGAATAACCCATGCACTTTACCCAGATTCACCCATTACTAACATTTTCCATCTCATTTGTGTCCTCTCTCTCTCTCTCTCTCTCTCTCTCTCTCTCTCTGTATGAGTATGTGTATATGTAATATATATATATAATTTATTCTTTTTCTTTTTTTGTGAGAAAGCAGGATTTATTAAGAAGATGGAAAAGCTCCCAAGTGGGAGAGGGCCCAAAAGAGGGTTGCCCTATATATAATTTTTTGAGGGGGACCAGTTACATACATATGGCACTTTCTTCCAAAATATGTGTGTGTATTTTCTAGAAGTGGAGATATTCTCTCACAATAATTATCACCTCTCTTAATTTACGTTGATAAAATACTTTTCTGGTTTATCCTTCCTGGATTTCTTTTTACCCCAGTCTTTTTATTGTGTTCAAATACACATACATAAAACCTACCTTCTTAATCATTTTTAACTATACAGTTTGGTGGTGTTAAATACATTCATAATGTTGTACAGCTATTACCACCATCTTTCTCTATACCTCTTTCCATCTTGTAAAACTGAAATTCTATACTCATTGAACAGTAACTTCTTATTCCCTCCTTCCCCCCAGCCCCTGACAACCTTACTCTATTTTCCGTCTCTATGACTCTGACTACTCTTAAGTACTGCAAGTGGAATCATGTAGTATTTGTTTTTTCATGACTGCTTATTTCATTTAGTATAATATTAGTGTCTTCAAGATTCATCGAAATTCTGGAACAGAATTGCCTTACTTTTAAAGGCGGAGTAATATTCCATTGTATGTGTATACACACTTCACTTACTCATTTATCTGTAGGTGGGCCCCTTAGGTTGCTCCATGTTTTACCTATTGCAAATAATTCTGCTGTGAACGTGGATGTACAGGTATCTCTTTGAGATCCTGTTTTCAGTTCTTTTAGATGTATACCTAGGAGCAGGGTTAAGTGGTAATTCTGTATTTCGGTTTTTGAGGAGCTGCCATAGTGTCTTCTACAGCTGGTGCACCATTTTACATTCTCACCGATAGTGCACAAGGGCTCCAGTTTTGCCACATCCTCGCCATCATTTATTTTCTGTGTTTTTGATAGTAGCTATCCTAATGGGTGGGAGGTGATACTGCATGGTCGTTTTGATTTACACTTCCCTAATGATTAGTGATGTTGAGTATGTTCATGTCCTTATTTGACATTTTTATATCTTTTTGAAGAAATACCTGTCAGATCCTTTGCCCATTTAAAAATATTTATTTGATTTTTTGTTGTTGTTGAGTTTTAGGAGATCTCTAAACATTCTGTATATTAATCTCCAATCAGATACATGATTTGTAAGTGTTTTCTCCCATTCTGTGGTTTGCCTTCTTCTTTTTTTTTTTTTTTTTTTGAGTTGGAGTCTCACTCTGTCGCCCAGACTGGAGGGCAGTGGCCGCTCCCGGCCACCGCAGCCTCGACCTGCTGGGCTCCAGCGATTCTTCCGCCTCAGCCTTCCAAGTTGCTGGAACTACAGGCCTGAGCTACCACGCCCGGCTGATTTTCTGATTGATTGTAGAGATGAGGTCTCGCTGCCCAGGCGGGTCTCGAACCCGCGGGCTCAGGCAATCCACTCACCTCAGCCTCCCAAAGGCGCGGGATTACAGGCTGAGCCACCGAGCCCGGCTTTTTTTTTTTTTTTAAGAGATGGGGATCTCACTGTGTTGCCCAGGCTGGCCTCAAACTCTTGGGCTCAAGCAATCCTTCCAGATGGTCACCACCATGTCCAGCTGTGTTGTCTTTTTGCTCTGTTGATACATCTTTGATGCACAAAATTTTTAAATTTTTACACAGAAATCCAGTTTATCTTATTTTTTATTTTGTTGCCTATACCTTTGGAGATCTATTTTTTAAAATTGCCAAATCCAAAATCATGAAGCTTTTGTGCTATGTTTTCTTTTTTTTTTTTTTGAGTCAGGGTCTCACTCTTTTGTCCAGGCTGGAAGACATTGACATGTCCGCGGCTCACCACAGCCTTGACCTCCTGGGCTCAGGCAATCCTTTTGCCTCAGTCTCCCAAGCAGATGGGACTTCAGGCATGTGCCACCACGCCTGGCTAATTATTTTGAGAGGGAGAGAGTGTGTGTGTGTGTATGTGTAGGTGTGTAGAAATGAGGTCTTGCTGTGTTGCCCTGGCTGATCTGGAGCTCCTGAATTCAAGTCATCCTGCCTTGTCCTCCCAAAGTGCTGGGGTTATAGGCATGAGCCACTGCACCTGGCCAGCTTTTGTCATATGTTTTCATGTGGAATTTTTATAGTTTTAGGTCATACATGTAAGTCTTTGATCCATTTTGAATTAATTTTTGTGTATGGTATTAGATAAGAGTCCAACTTTATTCTTGTACATGTGGCTGTCCAGTTTGCCCAGCACCATTTGTTGAAAAGAAAAGACTGTACTTTCACCATTGAATGGGGGTTTATTTGTTTATCTCTCAGTCTGTACCACACTGTCTTGATTACTGTAGGTTTGTAGTTTTGAAATCAGTATGAGTTTTCAAGCTTTGTTCTTTTTCCCTTGAGATTCTGAAGGCATTTTAAGATGGGTTTTTCTATTTGTACAAAAAAATGTCATTTGGATTTTGATAAGGATTTCATTGACTCTCTAGATAGCTTTGGGTAGAGTTGGCATCTTAATAATGTTTTATAACCTGTAAACATAGGATGTGTTTCCATTTATTTATATCTTTGATTTCTTTTAGCACTGTTTTGTAGTTTTCTTTTCTTTTCTTTTTTGAGAAGTCTCACTCTGTTGCCCAAGCTGGAGTGCAGTAGCACGCTCACAGCCACAGTAGCCTTGGTCCACTAGGCTCAGGTGATCCTTCCACCCCAGCTTTCCAAGTAGCTAGGACTACTGACATGCACCACCACACCTGGCTAATTGTTACTTATTTATTGTAGAGATGAGGTCTTGCCAAATTGCTCAGGCTGGTCTCAAACCCCTGGGCTCAGACAATCTTCTTGCCTCCGCTTTCCAAAGTGCTGGGATTACAGGTGTGAGCCACTGCTCCTGGCTATTTCGTAGCTTTCATTATGCAAGTCTTTTACTTCCTCAGTTAATTTCTAAGTATTTTATTCTTTTCAATGTTATTATGAATGGAGTTGTTTTTGTTATTTCCATTTCAGATTATTCATTGTTAGTATATATAAATACAGCTGATTTTTGTGTATTGACTTTGTGATAAAATACTTTTATCTAATATTGCATTCATAGTTCAGTGTAGTTAAGTGACCACATAATGTCCTGTATAGCCATTCCCAATTCTGGTACAGGATTCAGTCTAGGGTCAAATAATAGTATTTAGTATTGAAGCTTCCAGCCTTCCTTAAGCTGGAGCGTTTACAAGGCAGTTCTTTTTTTCTTTATTTTTTTTGAGACAGGGTCTCACTCTGTTACAGCCCAGGCTGGAGTGCAGTGGCATAATCATGGCTCACCATAGCCTCAACCTCCTGGGCTCGGGAGATCTTTCTGCCTCAGCCTCCTGAGTAGTTGGAACTACAGGCATGCTAGTTATTTTTGATATTTTGTTAGAGACAAGGTCTCAGTATGTTACCCAGGCTGGTCTTGAACTCCTGGGCTCAAGCAATCTTCCCACTTCAGCCTTCCAAAGTGCTGGGGTTATAGACATGAGCCAACTCGTTCAGCCAAGGGCTATTCAGTCTATTATGAGATTGGTATTTTTTGAAAAATGCAGAGCCCTGTGTCCCCACTTTTTTTTTTTTTAAATAGACTTACACATTTGTGTTTGTCTTATGTTTCCTCGTGATTACATTCAGGTTATGCCATCTAGGCCATAATACTCATAGTGGTGTTGTATCTTCCTGAGGATATCTATCACGTGTGGAGTCCGATGATGTTTTTGTTTCCCTCATTGGTGATGTCAATTTTGATTGCTCAGGCAAGATGTTGTCTGATTTCTCTACTGTATAATTATTGGGGTTTTGTGTATGTGTGAGAGAGTGTATGCACGTATTCCCCCTCCTTCCTTGTAACTAATGAGTAGTTTGTCAGTAGATATCTGAATTTCCTGCAAATATTCTGTTCCTCGTCAACATTTCCTGCCCAGATTTAACATCCAGTGATGATTCTTTCCTGATCTAGTTGCATGGATTCAAGTTCCTACTTTTTGCAATGAGTTATAATTCATTACCATATTTAATTATTTTGGTACTGAAATTGTCCCAACTTTGGCCAGTGGGAACCCCTTCATGCCAGCTCCTGTGTTCTTTGAGATGCCCCTTCCTTTTTTTTCTTGCACGGAAAGCTGTTCCAGGCTCATCTTATACCTACTTTGTCCTCGCCTTGGAATCAGCCATGTTTCCAAGGAGCCCTCACACCCTTGTTTTAGCACTTAGCTCACTGCTTACTTATACCTTCCTTTATTGGATTAGATTGTACCTTTCAAAGAGTACATAGATATCTTCCTCCAGCATAAGGCCTGGCACATTGTTTGCTAAATATTTGTTGAATTAAAAATTTGATGTTTGCTATAGTTCAGTGATTTAAATTGGATTCCAAAATTACGATACTGATAGGTTTTCTTTTTTTTCCCCATCTAGGAAGAAATGTTGGCTATTTGGCGATGAGAAGTGGTGAAAACTGACCTCTTGGTGGTGTGTAACACTATGGGACTTGATTTTTTTTGCTGCATGTCCAGCCAGCCCCCACTGAAAATGTCAAAAACCATTTGGTTCACTGGAAAACACTAATCTGATCTTGGAAGTGGCTGATTGTGGCAGGATGTGTCGACGATGATGATGGCAAGAAAGCAAGATGTCCGCATTCCCACCTACAACATCAGTGTGGTGGGATTGTCTGGGACAGAGAAGGAGAAGGGCCAGTGTGGCGTTGGAAAGTCTTGTCTCTGCAACCGCTTCGTGCGCCCAAGTGCAGATGAGTTTCACTTGGACCACACCTCTGTCCTCAGCACCAGTGACTTTGGAGGGCGGGTGGTCAATAACGACCACTTTCTCTACTGGGGAGAAGTCAGCCGCTCCCTGGAAGATTGTGTGGAATGTAAGATGCACATTGTGGAGCAGACTGAATTTATTGATGATCAAACTTTTCAACCTCATCGAAGCACTGCCCTGCAGCCCTATATCAAGAGAGCTGCTGCAACCAAGCTCGCATCAGCTGAAAAACTCATGTACTTTTGCACTGACCAGCTTGGGCTGGAGCAGGACTTTGAGCAGAAACAAATGCCAGATGGAAAGCTGCTGATTGATGGTTTTCTTCTTGGTATCGATGTTAGCAGGGGCATGAATAGGAACTTTGATGACCAGCTCAAGTTTGTCTCTAATCTCTACAATCAGCTTGCAAAAACAAAAAAGCCCATAGTGGTGGTCCTGACAAAGTGTGATGAGGGTGTTGAGCGGTACATTAGAGATGCACATACTTTTGCCTTAAGCAAAAAGAACCTCCAGGTTGTAGAGACTTCAGCGAGATCCAATGTGAACGTGGACTTGGCTTTCAGCACCTTAGTGCAGCTCATTGATAAAAGTCGGGGAAAGACAAAAATCATTCCCTATTTTGAAGCTCTCAAGCAGCAGAGTCAGCAGATAGCCACAGCAAAAGACAAGTATGAGTGGCTGGTGAGTCGCATTGTGAAAAACCATAACGAGAATTGGCTGAGTGTCAGCCGAAAGATGCAGGCCTCTCCAGAGTACCAGGACTATGTCTACCTGGAAGGGACTCAGAAAGCCAAGAAGCTGTTTCTACAGCACATCCACCGCCTCAAGCATGAGCATATTGAGCGCAGGAGAAAGCTGTACCTGGCAGCCCTGCCATTGGCTTTTGAAGCTCTCATACCTAATTTAGATGAAATAGACCACCTAAGCTGCATAAAAGCCAAAAAGCTCTTAGAAACCCAACCAGAATTCTTGAAGTGGTTTGTTGTGCTTGAAGAGACACCATGGGATGCCACCAGCCACATCGACAACATGGAAAATGAACGGATCCCCTTTGACTTAATGGATACCGTCCCCGCAGAGCAGCTGTACGAGGCCCACTTAGAGAAGCTGAGGAATGAGAGGAAAAGGGCCGAGATGAGAAGGGCATTTAAAGAAAACCTGGAGACCTCTCCTTTCATAACTCCTGGAAAACCTTGGGAAGAGGCTCGTAGTTTTATTATGAATGAAGATTTCTACCAGTGGCTGGAAGAATCTGTATACATGGATATCTATGGCAAACACCAAAAGCAAATTATAGATAAAGCAAAGGAAGAGTTCCAGGAGTTGCTTTTGGAATATTCAGAATTGTTTTATGAGCTGGAGCTGGATGCTAAGCCCAGCAAGGAGAAGATGGGTGTCATTCAGGATGTTCTGGGAGAGGAACAGCGATTTAAAGCATTACAAAAGCTCCAAGCAGAGCGTGATGCCCTTATTCTGAAGCACATTCATTTTGTATACCACCCAACAAAGGAGACATGCCCCAGCTGCCCAGCTTGTGTGGATGCTAAGATTGAGCACTTGATTAGTTCTCGGTTTATTCGACCGTCTGACCGGAATCAGAAGAATTCACTTTCTGACCCCAACATTGATAGAATCAATTTGGTTATATTGGGCAAAGATGGCCTTGCCCGCGAGTTGGCCAATGAGATTCGAGCTCTTTGTACAAATGATGATAAGTATGTGATAGATGGTAAAATGTATGAGCTTTCCCTGAGGCCAATAGAGGGGAATGTCCGACTGCCTGTGAACTCTTTCCAAACACCCACATTTCAGCCCCATGGCTGTCTCTGCCTTTACAATTCCAAGGAATCGCTCTCCTATGTCGTGGAAAGTATAGAGAAGAGTAGAGAGTCCACGCTTGGCCGGAGGGACAATCACTTAGTTCATCTCCCCCTGACATTAATTTTGGTTAACAAGAGAGGAGACACCAGTGGAGAGACTCTGCATAGCTTAATCCAACAAGGCCAGCAAATTGCTAGCAAGCTTCAGTGTGTCTTTCTCGACCCTGCTTCTGCTGGCATTGGCTACGGACGCAATATTAACGAAAAGCAAATCAGTCAAGTTTTGAAGGGACTCCTGGACTCTAAGCGTAACTTAAACCTGGTCAGTTCTACCGCAAGCATCAAAGATTTAGCTGATGTTGATCTGCGAATTGTTATGTGTCTGATGTGTGGAGATCCTTTTAGTGCAGATGACATTCTCTTTCCTGTCCTTCAGTCCCAAACCTGTAAGTCTTCTCATTGTGGAAGCAACAACTCTGTTTTACTTGAACTACCAATCGGACTACACAAGAAGCGGATTGAACTGTCTATTCTTTCATACCATTCCTCATTTAGCATCAGAAAGAGCCGATTGGTTCATGGGTACATTGTTTTTTATTCAGCCAAACGTAAGGCCTCCTTGGCTATGTTACGTGCCTTTCTTTGTGAAGTGCAGGATATTATTCCTATTCAGCTTGTGGCACTCACTGATGGCGCTATCGATGTCCTGGACAATGACTTAAGTCGTGAACAGCTGACTGAGGGGGAGGAGATTGCTCAAGAAATCGATGGAAGGTTTACAAGCATCCCTTGTAGCCAACCCCAGCATAAACTTGAGATCTTTCACCCATTTTTTAAAGATGTGGTGGAGAAAAAGAACATAATCGAGGCTACTCATATGTACGATAATGTCGCGGAGGCCTGTAGCACCACAGAAGAGGTGTTTAACTCCCCTCGGGCAGGATCACCGCTTTGCAATTCAAACCTGCAGGATTCAGAAGAAGATATTGAACCCTCTTCTTATAGCCTGTTTCGAGAAGACACATCACTGCCCTCTCTGTCCAAAGACCATTCTAAACTCTCCATGGAACTGGAGGGAAATGACGGGCTATCTTACATCATGAGCAATTTTGAGAGTAAACTGAACAACAAAGTACCTCCGCCAGTCAAACCAAAGCCTCCTGTCCATTTTGAAATTACAAAGGGGGATCTGTCTTATTTAGACCAAGGCCATAGGGATGGGCAGAGGAAGTCTGTGTCTTCTAGCCCCTGGCTGCCTCAGGATGGGTTTGATCCTTCTGACTATGCTGAACCCATGGATGCAGTGGTCAAGCCGAGGAACGAAGAGGAAAACATCTACTCTGTGCCCCATGACAGCACCCAAGGCAAAATCATCACCATTCGGAATATCAACAAAGCCCAGTCCAATGGCAGTGGCAATGGGTCTGACAGTGAAATGGACACCAGCTCTCTAGAACGAGGTCGCAAGGTTTCCATCGTGAGCAAGCCCGTGCTGTACAGGACGAGATGCACCCGTCTGGGGAGGTTTGCGAGTTACCGAACCAGCTTCAGCGTAGGGAGCGATGATGAGCTGGGGCCCATTCGGAAGAAAGAGGAGGATCAGGCATCTCAGGGTTATAAAGGGGACAATGCCGTCATTCCATACGAGACAGACGAAGACCCGAGGAGGAGGAATATTCTCCGCAGTCTAAGGAGGAACACTAAGGTAAGACAGCGATCTGGGGTGAGTCATAGGAGTGGTTTGAGCAGTGTCTGGGTGGGAATGATGGATGATGATGATTTTTCAATGTTAACTTATTCTGGCAAAAAACTGGGGGTTGGGGAGAGAGATTTTTTTTTTTTTTGAGTAGTAGTCTCACTCTGTTGCCCAGGCTGTCGTGTAGTGGCACGCTCATGGGCGCTGCAGCCTTGACCTGCTGGGCTTGGGCGATCCTTGCACCTCGACCTTCCAAGTTGCTGGGACTACAGGCGTGCACTGCCACTCCCGGCTTATTTTTTGGTTTATCATAGAGACGTGGTCTCGCCAAGTTGCCCAGGCTGGTGTCAAACCCCTGAGCTCAGACAGTCCTCTCGCCTTGGCCTCCCAAAGTGCTGGGATTACAGGCTTGAGCCACTGCGCCTGGCCTGAGAGAGAATTTACTCTTTGATGTAGCATTAAAAAGTTAGCTGTGCCGGGCTCGGTGGCTCAGCCTGTAATCCCGCGCCTTTGGGAGACTGAGGTGAGTAGATTGCCTGAGCCCGTGGGTTTGAGACCCTC